GCAATCTTGTTAAGAGTGGTTTCTTCAGCAAGCTTGGCAGAGCTGGGCGGTTTAGGACTTGGCGGATCAGCATCAGTGTTCATTGAATCAATAGTTGTGGTGTCAATTTTTGGCGGCAGGTCATTAGCAGGGTCTTCAGGATTTTGAATTGAAGCTTCTGAGACTATTGGTGTCTGCTTCTCCGGCTCATTAACTTTGGGGTCTTTTGATGGCCCGCCCGTCTTCAACTTTTTGCCTGCCTTGGCTATGCCTCTAAAAAGATGTGTAAGAGTATGAGCATGTCATCATAAAATATTAACCAACAAATGCAATTTCTTACCCCTGGGCAATCTTGAAGGCAGGCATCTGGGTCCCAGTTGAGTCGCCCGATGATGAGTGAGATGTTCCCTGATAGTTTGAGTCAGTTAAGTGGATGGCGAATGAGATCCGCCTTTGGAAATGAGAGGGGTGGATTTTGAAGCACCTCATTATGGCGTTTATGAGGGGTAGGTGTGTTGGGTAAGCCAGATACAAGGTCTCCACCACCACTGTTTCGAGTTGTACGTCTTTCTCGTGCTGCTGTTTTTTCAAAAGAAAATTGGGGTCCAGATAAGCAAGAGGATGGGAAAATCTTACTTTTCGAGAGACCCGCCAAGTTTTTTTTCTTTGCAAATTCTCTAAGTCGGAGGAGATTATGGTTACCTCTGCTGCATCCGCATGGCTGGTCTCCACATCATCCTGAGAGGAGTCAGTGTCAATAAGTTGCATAAAAAGAAAACCAAGAGAATCGAGTTCTACCTCTAACTCATTATCAAGGGCTAATAGGTCTTCAGCATCCTGTTTCTTCCCTTTAGTCTTTTTGGAGCCTTGGATTTTGTTTTGGTACTTTTTGTCGGCTTATCCTGCAGTTTCTTGTTCCAGAAGGGAGAGTCGGCCTAAAAACATAAGTGATGATGAGAAGATGTGCGGTTTATGAACAATGATAAATAAGTGAAAAGAAAGATTTCAGATGCTTACATCAGGAGCCGGATTGAGAGCACAGAAGGGGTTCAGTCCCGTTTTACTGCAATGCTCGAGAGTCTCCCTAAGCAATGACTTGGTCATCTCATTGATTTCCTAGTCCTCAAGGCGTTTTTGATTATATCGTTGTGGGTCTTTCACATCACATGTGTATTGGCACATTAAGTCGGTACAGCGGCTCAAAGGCAAGATTCTCCATGCGACCCAGCATCGGACCAGGTCAATACCAGTTAGGCCATTGGCTAATAAGGCCCTTATTCTCGAAAAGGTGGGTGCGTACTTGGCATGTTCTGCAACAGTAATCCTGGCAGGGAGTGGATGTCTAGGGCTGAGCCGGTAGGTGTGGAAACCCGGTAGAGGATTTTCATCTGTTGGAGAGGTGTCTTTGAAATAAAACCAAGTCTGGTTCTAGACCTTGGGGTGAGTGGGCAGTGTAGCTGTAGGGAAGACGACATCCCTCCGCCTTTGGATTGAAATCCCGCCGAGTTCCAGGCTAGGCCCGTCTGTCATCTCAGTTTGGCGGTTCAAATAATAATATTCTCTGAACAAATCAACATTGGGCTCCTCTTGAAGGTATACTTCACAAAAGACTTGGAAAATGCATATGTTGGAAACAGAATTGGGGCCGATATCTTGGGGGTGCGGACTGTAAAAGTGCAGAACATCCCTAAAGAATTTCGCCCCGGGTGGTGAAAAAACACGGAGGAGGTGATCTGCAAAGACTATAACCTCGCCTTCCTTAGGTTGAGGAGGAACTTAGGTTCTAGGAACTCGCCAGTGGACGATGTCTTTGGCTAGTAAAATGCCCATCTCAACATACTCCTTGAGAGTTTGCTCAGTGACAGTAGAGGTAACCCAATCGCAGGAGGTGGTGGTCTTAGTCATTTTTGACAGTGGAAGCCTGAGAATAAAGTGTGGCGGGTCAATATTGTGATGAAGAACCATCCAATTCATGTTTAAATCAATCGTTCCCTCACGGATTACAAGATCATGATTAAAGTTGATAAGTATGAACCGGCCAACATTGTCGATGGGTCATACAGGGTTCTGGATTTTCGAACAAATTGTGCATTATGATTAAGCCGGCTAAGTTCTGGCGGGTTACAAAGGTACCATTTGAGCCGCTTATGCAGCAGTGATCAAGCAAGTATATAGATCTGGATTTGAGGGGAATTTTACTAAGTACTGAATAAAGAAGTTTCACAGATCGTGCTTATAATTTTGGATCTACGGCAATTCGAAAAACAGACAGAAATTGCTAAACCTAAAACACGGAGGACGAACTGTTGTGCTGGGGAGTGAATCTCAGAAGGAAGGAATAGATCTGTGATTGATAGCAGAGGACAAAATAATCAAAGTATGACTTCAGTATCGCGTTTGGGTTCAACTTAGCGATATGGTGGATGAACTACAAGTGAGCACGATGAACACCGATGAACTGGGGAAACCTAATGTAGATTGGAAATAAGGTGAGATGGATACCTGGTGATGCTGATGGACAGCGAAGGGGCGCCACAATCTCTGGTCGAAACCAGGTTGATGCAGCGGCCAAGATGAAGCTGTTGGCGGGGGCGGCGGAGCTCCAGTGGCGTCGGTCGTCGCGAGGAAGAAGAGGAGGCGGGGGTAAAAATTGAAAAAGTACCCCCTTGTCCCTATTTATAAGGAGGCACTAAAATGGCATGCGCGAAAATTGAGGAGGCAACATGATTATCTCAACGGTGCGGGCACCTCGATTCTTGGAAGGCTAATTAAAATAAAGATCTGTTATGATATCACGGGTTCTGTGTATATTTAATGCGCATGATGCCATGGCGGGTTACAATGGCTTAGTTCACATGATGTCATGGCGGGTTATAATGGTTTTTCCAAGACTCGGCTTTGGTGGATAAGGCTGGTCATAGTGGGGAGTAACTTATACTAGTGTCATGCATATGACACTAGTCTAAGTTACTATCTTCATAGTGCAAAGTAACATAGTAGTAGTGTCATGGATGACTTCATTAATTAGCTTGTAGACTCATCTTGTCTTGGGAAGCGCTATGTTACCACTTCTCATTAACTACATGCCACATAAGCAAAATTTTCTTGGAGTGCGCTACGTTACTAGCTAAGTTACTCCCACTATGACTAGCCTAATGTGTTGACTGAAGCAGTGAAGATTGACATGAACAAGTTCAAATCAATCTTGGGCCTAATGTTGGGGATATAACCCCGAGGTGTGACCCGGCCAGGAGGGGCCGGGTTACACCGTTTGCGGCTTAACATGAAGAAGGCCCAAGTGGCCCAAGAAGATGAAGCATGAAGACGACGGCTCACAGAGGCGGGCCTGGTGGTGGCCCAAGACTCGGACTTGTGAACCGCCATATGGAGGCTTGCTTGCTAAGGCAAGACAATTTAGAAACCAGGTCGGTCATGTTGTGTGATCCGGCTCGGACTCTTGTAAGTCGTCGGGCCTCGACCAGTGTATATAAAGGTAAGACCTGGCGGGGGGTTAACTGAAAAAACAATCGATCGATAGCTAGGTCAAGCATAATTGCTCCCTTGTAATCGACACCCGAGCAATAAGAAACAAGAGCAGGAGTAGGCTTTTAACTCATTGAGAGGGGCCGAACATGGGTAAACCCTTTGTGTCCTTTGTCCTGTTCAACCCCTTTAAGCTAACATACGCGCGATGGCTCCACACCTAAGTCCTTTCGCAAGGGCATCTGCCGTGACAAATCCACGACAAGTGGCTATACCCCTGGAGCATCAATAGGTTCTCGTCAATCAAAATGTATGAAATCTTAAGGCAGCAACCAGAGGCTAATCAGATTTCTTTTAAGAGATGTGGAAAAGTGATGTCATGCCCAGATACAAAATCTTCTTCTGGTTGATTCTCCGTGATAGAGTCAACACAAGAAGTGGTTGATTCTTCGTGATAGAGTCAACAAAAGAAGCCTCTTGCATAGGACAGATATTCATCTACCTTCTTATAATTGTGCCCTTTGTACTGATGGACATCATCATGAGTGTGGGCACATTTGGATGCAAAGAAACTCCTGGATTTTGAATCATGAATACCCAAGTGTTGCCTCTTGGAGATACCTCCTTAAGTCTGATCTTCTACTATTAACTCACAGGATCAAGAATAAGTACTCAACAGAGTTCAAGAGCTAGATCTTTGATTGTCTTGCCTAGTTAGCAACCCTTTTCCTTAAAGTTTCCTGGGGCCCGAATAGGTTGAGCCAATGGCTTTGTTTTCTCTTTTTTGTTTTTTCTTGTCTTGTAAAACTTTGTAAATATTTATATTAATAAAAATACCGTAGAATGATTGTCCTACAGTTTGGGCTTCAAAAAAACTTACCAACCCGGACATTAATTTCATTACGTAAAAAAGGAAAACTGAAAAAGAAGATATAACTTCAACAAAATTCAGCCCGATTGGTACGTGAGTGATCAAATCCGGTGGATGCATGCCACCTCAATTAATACAGCCAAATTGGCACAGCCTCTATGCACATATATAATTCGTTTTTGTTTCACATACAGATTTGAAAAACATCTTATATTTGTTTACAGAGAATACGAAATAATTCCGTCAACCAAAATGACCATAACTTGCACCTTCGAAAATACAATGACATAAGTGAACTTTAGCGCGGGCGTATTTTACCCCCAAAAATAAGTACATAGCAGCTGTCTTAGAGCTCCATACACGATTCCAGTCTCACTTTCATCTCGACAAGTCCACATTGGTCTAGTGCATGCAATTCTTGCTGGATCTGATGCAAAGGGGTCAAAAAGCCTGAAAACGGCAAACGTGCTATAAAATACAGTACAAAGACCTGCGGGACGCTGCTGCCGCTATCTATAGAAGTAGGGTACCATTCGGATGTCACGTTGGTCTCTAGCTGCGTACTCTATGGAGAAAGATCAACCATCCAGGGGAAACGGGCGTATCAAAATGCAAATACAGAATTCCTATTTTACTATCATTTGAGTAAACTCTGAACACACATCCTTTACACTGAAGGCTGAATTGCCATTTCCTGCGCAGTCTGTTGATCTCCTGATGGCCGCCCAGGCGTGGCCCCAGGCATCTTGGAATCTGCAAAATATTGCAATATTCAAGCCATCATGTTTGTTTGTTTTACACGTAGATCTCATGCTAGTAGTCTAGAGATATAGATAATAACATATTCACCAGCTTCAAGTGACATCAGAGTCAAGGATGCAATTTCTCCCTTTGCAAGTGTTGCAACCGTCGAACATGGTCTATGAAACAGCAAATGGGCTACAATTCGATCAATTGGATTGGTGTCTGTTTCTGCTTCCTTCACCAGAGATCTGATATCCAGATACAAGGATGTGCCATTGTGAATACTCGCAGAAAAAAGTACTATTAACTAGTATAAAAAATGCACAAAAGGTAGCTTGCTGTTTACATGCCACAAAAGAAGACACACACGACATGACCTTAGGCTTGACCTAGGAGCATGTGAAGTTCAGATCCTTTCAATTACTTGCTAGGGTTATGAAGGAATTTCAGAGCATCTTACATGTGGACATGGTTGTATTTATTTACGTGGCAGTCCCTTTTCTGAATCTTCTTGTATCAGCCAACAACGATGCATGGTCCAACTACACCAGTAAATACCTAGAGCTTCCAAATTTCAGGGGAATATTTGCCTGTTGCCTCAAGCACACCAAAGTGTCCCTATCATCAAAATGTCCATGCCAAAGGAACACTTCTAACCAAGGATTTCCTAGAGCTAAGTAAGAACCAATGAAATGTATATCCTTTACAAAATATATGTTACTTCAAGAAACATGATAAGATTTCCTATTTAACTAGTTTAATTTCTTTTTTTACTCAAACCCCAACAATTTTGATATTTTTGGGCATTGATATACAAGTTTTCTTTTCTTTGCATTTTTCAAGCTAAGCAATTCTGATATGTTGGTCAAATTTGGTATTTTAAACAAAACTAAAATCATTATAGTTGAAGTTGAACTTAATTGAAACAGCAACTATCATGGCATGTTTCGAGCCTTCTTTGCCCTTCTTTTATTTTCTTTTCTTTCCCCTTTTTCTTCAGCAGAATAACACGTATTTTGTATGAATTACATAAAATAATACCTGGCCATCGCCCCCTCTTCCGCCCCCCTCCCCCTATCGACGGTGTGGTCCATCTGCCTGCCCTTGAAGATCCGTATCTTCATGTGGCAATGGATTCGCGGTCAGGTCCTGTCCGGGGTGGAGGTGCGCAAGCGAAATGGCCCGGGTACTGGCATCTGCCCGCTTTGTGGGGTCCCCGAAGACTCGAACCACATTTTCTTCTCCTGCGTGTCCGCTCAGTTCATCTGGAGCTGCTTTCGCGAGGCGGTCGGTGGAAATTGGTGCCACACCAACTTTCCAGACTTATTTGCCGAACTCCAGATGTCCCCCCTGTCTTCTCGCCACATTAGGTGGCTTGAGATTGGGGTCCTCGCCTGGACCCTCTGGACGATCCGCAATAAGCTTGTGATTCAGCGCACTCCTCTTCGACGGGCTACTGACGCTCTCTTCAAACTTTCGGGTTTCTTGCAGCTTTGGCGGCCGCTTAGCCGCCCTCCGGACCGCGACACCATCTCCGCCTTCATCGCTGACCTCCGCTTGATGGCTGTCCGTCTGTCGCCGCCGCCGGCGGAACCAGACTAGGCGCTTTCTTCATCCGTTTTTTCTGGTTTTTATTTCTGGGCCTGTTGAGCTGTGCCCTCAGCAGAACCTTTGTACCTTATTGTGAGACTTGGGTGTGTGTGTGTGGACTTGACTTTGTATGTGTGCTCTTTGGCGGTTTGCTTTATTTATAAAGCGGGGCGAAAGCCTTTTTCGGTAAATAATAAATAGGACCCCAATTTTATAAAGACAGTACAGCAAGTCTGCCTAGTTATACAATCTATCAGGGCATATATACATGCCTAGCTATACAATCTGTCAGGGCAAGTCTGCTTGAGCTAGATGTTAGATCTAGAATCACAGTGGAGTCACCAATAACCCCTACATACCAGGACACATTTCAAGATTTAACTTTGACCATCAACTAGACCAACACTATAAGTTATGTGACTTCAAAATTATACTAATGAAAATAAAAATGTTGGCGCACATAACCCACATTTTGTTGGTTAAACTGATGGTCAAACTTGATTCTTGAAATGTGTGTGCACCTTATTCACCCCCTCACTTCCGAAACCGGGATTTTAATCCCCTCAACTATCCAAAACCAGGCAAATCATCCCCTCATGCCCTGGTAAGTGGTTCTTGATGGTGGTTTTGCAAACGTGGCAGCGAGGAGACATGGAAAAGCTCTGCTGCACTGGGTGAGGCCATGCGCTGAGCTGGGAGCGCGTCGAGAGCTTGCCGGAGGCGTAGCGAAGCGAAGGAGGGGGCGCCATGTCCAGGCACGGAGTCACGATCGAGGCCGCCGACTGTTGTGACAGCAGCGGAAACTATCCACAGCAGGACGTGTCACCCCATCCCACACGAGCCATTGTTTTCGGGCTCCACCTGCGTCCATCCCATGGGAAGCTTCGCGTTGCAGAACAACATTCGGAGCTTGTTTCCCAATGATGTCCGTTGTCCGGTCACAGGCCACGTGCATCAGTTCGGCCATTGTATGGAGCCAGAGAAAAAAGTGATGATGTTGCTCATGGCCTGCGTCTCAAGGGACATGAGATGGACGTGAGAAGGAGCAGCACAAGAGACGTGCAGATCATGTCATCATTGCATGTGCTCGTTCGGAGGTGGAGTTCTTGAATGCCATGGCCGAGGGCGTAGGATAGCCACTCCTCCACGGCACAAGAGTCTTCAGAGGTGCCCGCTCGAACGCCCCCACAGTACCTGCGCAGGGCGACACAGAGGTGGTGTAGCGGCGCGTCGCCATCGCCACAACATCTCCGGACGAGCAGCGCGTTGGGGACCCTGCCGCTTCTTCTTTGCAGAAAACTTCATGACGATTGTGCAGGTATTGTCATCCCGACACTTGCGGCCTGCTTGATAGGATTTAGCGGCGCCCAAAGTCGCCGACACTTGTCATCCGGACGCGCGCAGCAAGCGGTCATGCACCTCGGCCCTCGGCATTCCCACGGACATCGGGGCCACTGTGCATGCTGACTATGGGGAAGGCGGCAGCACAACACTTCTGTCATAGCGCTGTGTGGAGGTGCGCGTAATAGGAATACGCCGACGGCAGTATCAGGTGGACTCCCGCGCTGGCCTACTCGGATTGTGTAGCGGCGGGATGGCAAGCTCCATGGAGTCAGAGACTAGGGGCCGTGCCAGCTAAACGCGTGTCTTGACTCTTGAGGAGATGGACGATCGAGTACCCTGCTGCTAGTTTTCCTCACCGGCATGCGCCACGGTCTCGTCGGGGGAGCACGCAACGGAGTCGCCGGAGATGCGGACATGTGCAGCTCCATTGATGTGTCTTGAGGAAAGAAAAAACAGGTTTTTTAAAGAAACAATTGATTACACTGACATGTGAGTCATGAGATGGGATGGCAGTGTAAGTCAAACAAAAAAATCTGGTCAGCGTGCCATGTGGGCAAAATCACCTGCCAAAACAGTTTGGAGGGGGTGATTTGCCTGGTTTTAGATAGTTGAGGCAATTAAGATCCCGGTTTTGGACGTGAGGGGGTTATCTGTCCAAAACATGATGCTTGTGGACGTGAGGGGTTATCTGTCCAAAATGTGATAGTTGCGGGGGTTATATACACTCTTTTCCTGGAATGGAGGGAGTACTAACCCACTTTGGCATTAAGCAATATACCTTTTTCTCCTGTTGGATGAGTCATTTTCTGAAACTTCATCTTCATCTCTTTTAGTCTTGTTACTGCTAGTTCTGTCACCAGCAATTTGTCTCTGCGAGGAACTCTGAGCCAATCGAAGCAGACTGTCTCGAATGCAGAGTCGAGTTCTAGCATCCAGCTGCACAAGGAATAAAATATTAATCAATTTCATTTTCATAAGACCAAATCCTGCAACTGAAAAGTGTTTCACTCAACACATGAACATCAATAACGTTTTACAGAAAGAATAAAGAAATGACCTTCCCAAGGGCATCTTTAAGCTCATAATATATTTTTTCCTCTATAAAGGGATCATTAGGAATTCCAGAATTCTTATGAATCTCTTTACGACAAGCTGAAGTCTGCTCTGGTGCATTTTCGTCTATGATACCTGAACTCCCTAATGAATCTGAGTTCTTCTTTCGGGAGTATGCTCGAGGTACCAAAGTGTCCCTGCCCGAACCCTCTTGACGAAATTGCTGCTGCTGTTGTTGAATAGCTCTCAGGGCTTGTTGTTGTTGCCGGCGCCTAAGCTTTTCAATCTTTTCCTGGGGTGTCATCATCAGTGCCCTTGATGGCATATCTTGTGGCTTTTCTGTGGAACTTGATTGCTTCAGAGGATCTACTGAAGTTTGGTAACATGCAGCCTTTGGGTTTGTCTGATGGCCTTCAGCCTGAATATTTGACACCGCCGGAATGGTAGGACACGGATATGCAGGACATCCATAGCCAGGGAATGCAAGCTGAATAGCATCTTGAAATTGCTCCATATTCTTGCTATCGTGGAGCAGTGCATATTGACGAGTCTGAAAATGCTGGACAGGAGGTTCGGATAATGAATGCAAACTGTCTGGTTGCTGGTGTCCTTGGTTCTGGGAGAAACCACTTGTATTGTTGGATGTTTTACTTTTGCTTCCTTCATCTGGTTTTCTTTGTGATTTCATTGGTCTCTTCTCTACATCTCCCTACAAAAGTGCCACATTTATACTGGGTTGTAACGAGCCAGGTCACTCACTGAAACAAGATGTAACCAAGTACCTATTGTTTTGACCAATTTTAAACTACATATAAATTCTAGGTTATCAAAACGGCAATTATAGTAGTGAAGACAGTTCCCAATAGGAGGGGAAAAAATGTCATACAGGATGAATCCAGAGAGGATCAACTGAATACATGTATAGAAAAACAGCATACATTACAAGTAGCATCTTCTGTTCAGAGGTGCGTGGAAGCTTGCTATCCATGTGCCAGAGCCATGAGTTGGTCGCGAGATCTTATGGGTTTCACCTCTAGCCTACCCCAACTTGTTTGGGATAAGCTTTGTTGTTGTTGTTGTTACTTTTCTGGTGAACATCAACTATTCGAGCCTTAGGCTGGATAACAGATATCAGATTGGTATAGCCAAATTTATCAGGATATGACCATCAGCTCCATTCAGGCCAGTTCAAAAGAACTCTAAATTGCAAGTGAAAAATAAATGATAGCTATGAAGTGAATAAGTGATTAAAAATCACTATACTGGACAATTGACACTCTTATATGTGTTAATTTATATGTTTACAAAGGATAGCAACCATGTGAAGAAAACAATTTTCTAGATCATCATGAAAGATGGAGATGAATTCATTTATAAAAGATGAGCATATGCATCACATGGCTAGCTACCACCTTCAATATCTATACCAAAATAAAAAAAGCGAGTTGCGGAGATCCGACAAATCTCACCTGTTCAACCGCATCTATCCAACGGTCTACGCGGCTCCGGTGTTTAGCGTTAAACGTTTTTAGCATTAAACATGTTTAACACCCTCCACTAATTAAAAGCATGCCTAATATCAATGTCAGCATTAACCAGGTAATTACATCCTACCGAATATTAATATGCAATTTATATCTTGCCTAATATTAGTGTGCAATACAATTAATATCTTGCTTAATATTAATGTGCATTGCACATACACAATTACTGGTCTGATTTAGTTTTCGAGAATAATCACTACCCAGACAATTTTACACTCAGCATACATTAGCACTAGCATCTGCTGTTACGTGCGTGGAGTTGGAGGTGGGAACTGGGATCTGATTAGAGGGGATAGCGAGGTTCGCCCTTAGGCGCATGTAGGGGCTCGTCCCCTGCGGTGACGCTGGAGGCTCTGAACTCTCAAGGCAATTTTCTCTATTTCTTGATTGATAATCCTAATACAAACTATCCTCTCTTTATATAGAACAGAGAGATCACAAAACTTGGAAAGCAAACCAGATCCTAACCGTTTGGAAAGTAAAGACAACTTCCTAATAGAAATATATTTCCTAGGGATAAACTTGGACTTCTTGGCCGCCAAGGATTAGCCATGTCCTGCCTAAGGCCCACCTGTTGGTATTGTGGTTACGGACTGTGTGGCAGGTCTGGGCCTGCGGCTATAGTGCTGCCCCCAATACCTGCCTGTAACATCTACTACCCCCCAAAAGTCATATCGTATATACAAGAGCGAGCAAGAGGTGGTTGCTAGGCATGTCAATGCATTTAGCCATGTACCTTGATTTCTTGTTTGGCTATTTTATTGGGAGTACAATTAATCAGAACCGAAGAAGATCCACAATCAGAAGATGGTTGCTTATTTAATGGTATACGCTGTAAAGCAATCAAGTCGCATTGATAAGAAAGAGCTCAATGCTACAGAGGAAATGAAAATTAGCAATAAAAGATCCGAGTACTACATATACATACCGGAAAGGGGATTGATTGTACAGTACCGTCAACCACATCTGAACTCGGAACAAGGAAATCACTGCCATTAACAACCATCTCATTTCCAAATAAGGCTTCAGTGTTGCTGCAGAACCACATCAAGCTATAAGTTTATTAAACCGGTAATAGTATCATTCCAACTATCCATACTTATTGTTTCATTTGATTTCCAACCTTACCTAAACAAGTAGTCAAAATCATCAAAATCTCCAATATTGCCCCAGTCACAGTCGAGAAAGTTGTTGCTCTTTTCTTCATGCTCATTGCCAAACATTTCAGGTTCACCATCCAGCTGCACTGTATATGGGCTAACGAAAGATATATAATTTGTTTTGAAAGTATTGTGTCTTTACCTTTTTTTTCCTACATGTGTGGCATGTTTGAATGTAGAAATGTTAAATAATGAAACAAACCTGACACGCTTCTGGTAACTTTTTGTACTAGATGCAGAATTGAAATCCAAATATGTTGATGCTATATTATCGTCATTGTAGTTTCTATCAAATGTAGTGCTCAGGAGAGGCAGGTCAGGCCAGGATTCTATGTCAAGTTGTGTAGCTGAATAATGTCCACTAGCCTCAGTGGCAGCCTGCTTTTCCAAACCAGGATGTTCAGTTTGACCCCATGAAGTACATTCAGTAAGGCCCACAACACTAGCTGCTTCATCATCATTCTTCTTCTGGTCTCGAACACAGATTGATCTACTATCCTTCGTATCCTTGGGGCAAGGTGTTATATGGTCTTCATTCTCCCTGAGTTCAGCCCAGATTCCATCCCCTACCTGCATTTCAAAACCAAAGACTAAATCATCTGGATAAAAAGTAGCAGTGCCTCTGCGTCGCTAATCAAAATTAATTTGAGCATCATATGGAGGAGGGTTGTGATAGGCTTGGCGAGACAACGTCAAAACTCAGCCACTCTTATGGAGATAAAACCCAAAAGAGGCGTAACCCTCTCAGCGACGTGCCACATCGGAACCCGGGTGTGGTGTCAAATGGGCAAGGGCCGGGCCGTCATCCCCTCGATGGCGCGCCGTATCTTGATCTGGATACGGTGGCAAGTAAGCGAGGATCAGGTCCTCGCATCCTTAGTGACGCGCTACATCGGCGCCCAGATGTAGTGGAAAATGAGCAAGGATCTTCACATTTGACTCGACGAGTGCGAAGGGTAAGGAAGCTAGCCGAGTCTAGGAGGATCCGCTTAGGTAGCTGGAATGTAGGGTCCCTAACAGGGAAGCTTCGGGAGCTAGTTGATGCAGCGGTGCGGAGAGGTGTTCATATCCTTTGCGTCCAAGAAACCAAATGGGGGAGACAGAAGGCGAAGGAGGTGGAAGATACCGGCTTCAAGCTGTGGTACACGGGCACGGTTGCAAACAAAAATGGCGTAGGCATCTTGATCAACAAGAGCCTCAAGTATGGAGCGGTAGACATAAAGAGACGTGGGGACCGGATTATCCTGGTCAAGCTGGTAGTTGGGGACTTAGTTCTCAATGTTATCAACGTGTATGCCCCGCAAGTAGGCCACAATGAGAACACCAAGAGGGAGTACTGGGAGGCCTGGAGGACATGGTTAGAAGTGTACGATTGGCGAGAAGCTCTTCATAGGAGGAGACCTCAATGGCCACGTGGGTACATCTAACACATGTTTTGAAGGGATGCATGGGGGCTTTGGCTATGGCATCAGGAATCAAGAAGGAGAAGATGTCTTAAGCTTTGCTCTAGCCTACGACATGATCGTAGCTAACACCCTCTTTAAAAAGAGAGGATCACATCTAGTGACTTTTAGTAGTGGTCGACACTCTAGCTAGATTTATTTCATCCTCTCAAGAAGAGAAGATAGGCGTGTGTGCCTAGACTGTAAGGTGATACCTGGAGAGAGTGTTGTCCCTCAACATAAGTTGTTCAATGGGGAGAATGATAGTTCTACCATTGAACTAGACGACTCCTTTGATGATACCGGCAAGCATTTTGTGCGGCGAATCCAGGAGTATGAGGTCAATGAGGCTTTAAAAAGGATGAAAGGAGGAAAGGCGATGGGCCCTGCTTGTATCCCCATTGAGGTGTGAAGAGGCCTCGGGGATATAGCGATAGTATGGCTAACTAAGCATTTCAACCTCATTTTTCAGGCAAACAAGTGCCAGAAGGATGGAGACAGAGTATATTAGTACCAATCTTCAAGAATAAGGGGGTGTTCAGAGTTGTACTAATGACCGTAGAATTAACCTGATGAGCCATACAATGAAGCTATGGGAGAGAGTCATTGAGCACCGCTTAAGAAGAATGACAAGTGTGACCAAAAATCAGTTCGGTTTCATGCCTGGGTGGTCGACCATGGAAACCATTTTCTTGGTACGACAACTTATGGAGAGATACATGGAGCAAAAGAAGGACCTGCATATGGTGCTCATTAACTTGGAGAAGGCCTATGTTAAGATACTGCGGAATGTCATGAGGTGGGCCTTGGAGAAAATACAAAGTCACAGCAAAGTACACTAGCCTCATTAAGGACATGTACAATAATGTTGAGGCAAGTGTTCGAACAAGTGATGGCGACACTGATGACTTCCCGATTAAAATAGGACTGCACCAGGGGTCATCTTTGAGGCCTTATCTTTTTTGCTTTGGTGATAGATGAGGTCACAAGGGATATACAAGGAGATATCCCATGGTGTATGCTCTTTGCGGATGATGTGGTGCTAGTCAACAATACTCGGATGGGGGTCATAGGAAGTTAGAGTTATGGAGACAAACCTTGGAATTGAGAGGTTTTAGGCTTAGAAGAACTAAAACTGAGTACACGAGGTGCGGTTTCAGTACTACTAGGCACAAGGAGGAGGAGGTTAGCCTTGATGGGCAAATGGTGCCTCGCAAGGACACCTTTCGATATTTAGGGTCAATAATGCAGAAGGATGGGTGTATTGATGAAGATGTGAACCATCAAATCAAAGCCGGAAAGATGAAGTGGCACCAAGCTTCTGGCATTCTCTGTGACAAGAAAGTGCCACAAAAACTAAAAGGCAAGTTCTATAGGACGGCGGTTCGACCCGCAATGTCGTATGGCACTGAGTGTTGGCCGACTAAAAGGCAACATGTTCAACAATTAGGTGTGGTGGAGATGCGCATGTTGAGATGGATGTGTGGCCACACAAGGAAGGACCGAGTCCGGAATGATGATATATGAGATAGAGTTGGGGTAGCACCAATTGAAGAGAAGCTTGTCCAGCATCATCTGAGATGGTTTGGGCATATTCAACACAGACCTCCGGAAGCTCCAGTGCACAGCGGGCGGCTAAAGTGTGTTGATAATGTCAAGAGAGGTCGGGGTAGATCAAACTTGACATGGGAGGAGTCCGTAAAGAGATATCTGAAGGATTGGAATATCACCAAAGAGCTTCCCATGGATAGGGGTGCGTGGAAGCTTGCTATCCATATGCCAGAACAATGAGTTAATCACGAGATCTTATGGGTTTCACCTCTAGCCTACCCCAACTTGTTTGGGACTATGTTGTTACTGTTTTTTAGTCTCACATCATAAATTTAGCAAATCGCAAACTCTATCACCTGCCTCTCTTTAAATTTGTAATTTGATGAAATATTAATATTCTCAAAATGCATAAAAGACCACGAATATTCAGGGAGAATAAAGAACATGTAATCCAGTTCAAAACAAGCCAATAAATCTATTCAAATTCTAATACGATCTCTAAACTGACTGGACTCTTTCCTAATGAAGTTGCTTAATCAACTAGGACACTAATGTAACAAGTACTTAAGCCAATTGAGTAGAGGAGTGAGGCATCGGAGAAGACTGCCCCTTGAGAGAAGTGCATATTTCAACCCCGAACTCATGCCCTAGTCTAGACGGTATTGGAGTTTGGGGTTGTAAATTAGACTAGGGCATGAGTTTGGGGTTGAAATATGCACTTGTCTCAATGCCCTTCTGTTCTTCCTGTTCATCCCACCTGCCTCTATCTCTCTCTCAAACAAGAGTAATCACCTGCGTGTGGGGTTCAGGCCTAGCGAATGTAACCAGTACTTAAGTCAAAAGCGTAGAGGAGTGAGGCATCGAAGAAGACTGTAGCAAATCCCTTTCTGGTCTTCCTATTCTTCCCACCTACCTCTATCGCTCTCTCTCTCTCTCTGTGTTAGGGCATGGCTAGCTACTGACTGGATTATATTGTGAAAGAAGGAACTTAGAAGATTTTAGTGCAAATTGGCTCGAGTTGCTAGGGTTTCTATTGCGAAATACTTCCTCCGTCTCAAAATAAGTGTCTCAACTTTGTACTAGCTCTAGTACAAAGTTGTACTAAGCTTGAGACACTTATTTTGGGACGGAGGGAGTAGAAAATTCGGGCACTGTAGCACGCCACAGTCGGTTACGATTACAACTCAATTACACAACTACATAAAGTTGGCCTCAAACGCAAAGAAATGGCGGCTTTATAGCCATTACAGTCGTAAGCAGGTGAAAAGCTAAAACAGAAAGCAAAGGCAACCAGTCGATGTGACATATGCTGAACAATGATGTGAGAGAGGTGGTGTAGCGTCCGATCTTCGATCAACGACTGACAATGAACATAAACGGGCGAACTGGTATCAAGCGACGTGAGCCCTACGATCAAGGATGAACGTCAAGCGCGACCTCAGGAGCATCACGTGGAGACAGTAGAAGTGTCACTATTCTTCAGTTGATTTAGTCCCGAACCTGAGAATACCCCCCAATTGGGACAATGCTTGTCCTCAAGGCTGAAAGGAGGGGAAAAAATTTGTACAAATGTTGAGTCCTCCCATGTTGCTGCTTTGATCGACTTGTTCGCCCATTTGACTAGCAAACATACAACAGGAATACTGATGTTCCCCTGTGGTCTGGGAATCAATTTCCTTTCCAGTACCTTTTCTGGCTCCATTTTGATCAGTCCATTCTCATCCACTAGAGGCAAGTGACGAGTTGGTATGACATGAGGGCTGACATGCTTATGGAGCTGCCTGACACGGAAGCTATGCTGTAGTTGACACCCTTCTGGAAGGAACAATTTATATGTAGTGTTCCCAATTTATAGCAGCACTCTGAAGGGGCCATAAAATTTGGAATGGAGTTTCAGGTGTTTATGGAGACTGAGTGAGATTGTCACGCCCTTGCCTTTGGCCAAAGGAGGCCGCCAGACTTGGGGCTCGTCGCCGGCGAGGTTGGACGGAGGAAGAGGATAAGCAGGTGGGAGAGATGCAGACGCAACGAAAGAGAGAGAGAGAGAGAGAGAGAGAGAGAGAGAGAGAGAGAGAAAGAGAGAGAGAGAGAGAAATAAGCTAGAATTCAAATGTCATTTCAACGATACCCCGAACGGCCCTCCTCGGTCAGCTTATATGTTGTCCTCATTACACATGGCCCAAGGCCCGCTAAACACACGCAAGCCCACACTGGAACCGCCTATCTATTCAAACCTCCCGTCACACCTTTACGCCTTCTTCTGAATACGTCTTCCCCCTTGCTTGACACCTAATGACAGTAGCTCAATACCGACATTGCCCTCCCCTTGAGAACCAGCTGGTCCCCAAGCTGGTGCATCCGGGAACCGTGCTTTCAGCACTTCATAATCTTCCCAAGTAGCATATGGCTCTGGTACTGGCATCCATTTGATCAGCACTTGCAAATGGGCCGCATTGCCTTTCTTGACCAATCGTCTGTCCATGATCTGTTCAGGCAGCACTCCTGGTACTGATAAATCCAGAGGCTTGGGCAGCACATGAACACTGGTGTGTGGTCTGGCACATGAGACTTCAATTG